GGCCTCCCCTGCCTCAAGGCACCTCTCAACCCCACCCCTCCCCCCATGCCTGGGCTGAGGGGCTTTACTCTGCACTCTCACCCCAAAGGGCTGCTAGGAGGTGCTCATCCCCACTCACCTCTCTGGGGACAGGAGCTTGCAGGAGTGGGGGGAGGTCAGAGCCAGAGGGCTGAGAGGCGGGTAAGGCTCTGCACTGGGCTCTGGCCACGGTGAACACTGCGGGCAAACAGCAGCATCGGTATGGACAGTCCATGGGCAGTGGTGGCTGTCCCTCACATCCATCTGTCTATTAAGATCTGACAAGGGACCTGCCTTGGGCCAGAGTTGGTCCCTGCCCTACAGTCCCTGACAAGCAGATTAAGTTTTGACACAAAGAAAAAGAGCACACTAGCCTGCAGTTTCTGCTGGGGGAGTTGGGGCCGGCTTCCTGGAGGAGCTAACCAGAAACAGCAGCAGGAAAGGAGGTGCTCCAGGCAGAGGGAGCAGAAGCGGGGTGGCAGTGATAGCAGGCACAGGAGAGGGAGCCTGGAAGGTGTCAGCTCCTGGAGTCTTGAACAACAGATGGTGCAATTTGTCTTTGCAGGTGGAATCACTAGGGGGCTGTGATCATCCTGGAGCAGCCGCAGCCCTTGAGGCCCAGTTTCCCTAGGTGTACAATGAGGATCTTTTCTCCAAACCTCCTTTCCCATCCCTGCCACCCCAACACACACCTCCACAAAGACCGTGCTCTCGCAGGCAGTCTGATACTTGTCTCGCTCATGCAGGGGCTGTTTCTCAATCTTCTCCCGGTCAGTCTTCAGTTTCCGGTCAGCTCCTTTGGGCTACAAGAGGGAGACATGGAAATATCAGAGGCCTCCTCTTTATGTGCACACCTTTCATTACAGAAGGAGCTCTAAGAAAGAGCCCATTCCGCTGTGCACAGAGAAGGAAAGAGTTCCAGAGACGGGACGGGACTGCAGACTGAGGTGCACTGCGCAGCAGGGCCGGAATCCACACAGCCGGCGCAGCAGGGCGACACGCCCTGAGCGGGAGCGGAAGGGGGACCGGGGCTGCCTGTACCTTGAATACCTTGATGAGGCAGCCAGCTGAATGCAGGTGTTCGGGTGGAAGCTCCTTGTCACTGGGCTTGAACGTGTCAATCTGGAGGCGGAAGGGAACGCCTTTCTCTCCGCCTTTTTTCCGAGGAGTGAACTCGGTGCTGATGCAGTGAACCTGAGATGGAGCAGCAGCAAAGGGGAGGCAGTGTGACTCCAGAACCTGCGTTCTAGGGGGATTCCACTAAAACCTGTTGCCTGCTTGTCACCGTCAGCAATGCCTGTTTTTAAGGTGTAACTGGATCAGGTTCTTTCCCTTGTTCAGAATCCTTCAGTGGCTCCCTAAGTGGTTGTGGGATGAGAAGCGAAGTTCCTGACCCTGGCTTTCGAGCATCTTAAATCATCAAGTCAAGCCTTAGTGCTGAGCTGCACGCTAACCCCTCCTGAACCTGCGGCCTAGGCCGCAGCAGACCCGCAGAGTCCTCCCTAGAGTCCAGGTGGAAACCTGGAAAGTTCTCGCTGCTCCCGTCTGAGCCAAGACATCCCATTCCAGGGTGGGGTGCCAGGTAAAATAGAGGATGCCCAGTTACATTTGCATTTCAGGTAAACAACAAATAATATTTTAGTATAGGTATGCGCCAGTGTTGCATAAGATATACTTATTCTAAAAAAAGTCTTTATCTAAAATTCAAATTTAGCCCTGGCTGGGTGGCTTAGTCAGTTGGAGCATTGTCCCATACACCCAAAGGCTGGGGGTTCGAGTCCCAGTCAGGGCACATTACTAGGTTTCGGGTTCCATCCCCGTTCTGGGCATGTACAGGAGACAACCCATGTTTCTCTTTCACATCCCTCTCTCACTCTTGCTCCCTTTCTGTCTAAAATCAATATATCCTCGGGTGAAGATTAAAAAAAAATTTTAATTCAAATTTAACTGAGTGTCCTTGTTTTGTTTTTGTTTTTGCTAAATCTAGCCGTTTACTCCAGGAAGTTCCCCTGATCTGCACCCCTCGCATGGCCTGCAGCCTTTGCTTTCCTATTGGAACCAGGATTCCAAGGGCGACTGGGGTCTTGCCCGCTGTTCACACCCACTGCCCACTGTAGCCCTCCCACAGTCCTGTGAAGAACAGTTTTAGGGTCTAACTTTGCAGGTGGGGAAACTAAGGCTCCCAGAGATTATGTGACCTGGGCAAGGCGCTTGCTAGGGAGTGATGGAACTGAAACTGAGCCACATCTGCCTGACTCCTAGTCCAGGTGCTTAGACCATGGTGGGCGCTCCAAAAAGGGACTTACCAGTGACTTTGGGTTATATTGTTTGATTATAAAGGGAAATCTATTCAACGTACAAAATGTGGGGAACACTGAAAAAATACAGAATACAGGCATCTTCCATTACTGCACCTCTCAGAGATACACTGTTGACATTCAAGTATTGTCTCTTCCTATTTTTTCTCTGGGCAAGAAAAAAGGGGGTAGGGGGGGAACCTTGTATATACACACACACATTTTCTTACAAAATAGAAATTAAACTTAAAATACAAGTTTGTATTCTGCCTATTCTTTACTTAAAGGAAAGCAGTTTTTCTTGTCATGAAGTATTTCTGAGACCTCACTTCGATGGCTACACAATTTCCATTGCAAGCCTGTACTGAAACTTATTTAAAGTCAATCCCCTTCCCATGGGCATTTTTATTATTTACAGTCTTTTATAGGATAAATTTCTTGAAGTGGAACTACTGGGTAAAAAGTATGGACATTAAATTTAATAAATTTTGCTCAAGTGTTACCATCTCTACAGAATAAATGCACCAGTCTGCATTTTCAGGTATGAGAGTGTCTGTTCCCCAACTTTACCAATAATAGTTTTTTTGAGTCTTTGACATTATATATATATATATATATATATATATGTGAAACATTTTTTTAATTTTATTTTTCAATTACAGTTAACATTCAATACTATTTTATATTGGTTTGGGGTGTACAGTATAGTGGTTAATTATATAATTTACAATAATTTAAGTACCCACCTGGCACCAACTATAACATAGTTGTTATAATATTATTGATTATATTCCCTATGCTGTACTTTACTTCCCCATGATATATATAAAATTTTAATTAGCATTTTATGAGGTTGGCTTGTCCACATTTAGTATCCCTATAAAAATTGTCTACTTATAGCCTGGCCAGCGTGGCTCAGTGGTTGAGCACTGACCCATGAACCAGGTCAGGGCTCAATTCCCAGTCAGGGCATATGCCCGGGTTGTGGGCTCGATCCCCAGTAGGGGGGTGCAGGAGGCAGCCAATCAATGACTCCCTCTCATCATTGATGTTTCTATCTCTCTTTCCCCGTCCCTTCCTCTCTCTGAACTCAATCAATTGTCTACTTACATCCTCTGCCTGTTCATCTATTTTTTCTTATTGATAAATGAGAACTTTTTATACATTAAGGACATAACACATCAGCAAATATTTTTCCCATTTGGCGTCTCCTTTTAACTTTGCCTGGGTATTGCAGACCATGACTTTCCATGAAGCTAACTCCTGTGTTTGTAGTTTCTTCCATTGCTTTAATGTTTAACAAGTCTTGCCCTCTGGTGAGATTCCATAAACCTTTATCCATATAAGATGTTTTCTGGAAGTGATTTCCTTTTACTGTCCTCTTACCCCCAACTAAACTTACCTTCCTTTCCCAGCTTCAAACTCACCTGGAGGAAGAGGGAGGTCCTCTTGGTCGGGTCCCAATGAAACTCCACTGTGTTAAGCTGTGAGGGGAGCACCTGGGGTTCTATCACCCCCACAGACAATGGCACATCTGCAAGCAGGGAGCAAGGCTCAGCCCTCCCCATCCATAAGGGCTTTCAAGATAGACAGTGGCCCTAAAGGGTCCCTGGTCCCTCCCCATTCACCGATGTCCAGGATGCGGTCCCCAGGCCGGCTCCATCTCCACCCATCCAGCTGCTGCTGCTCCGTGTACTGCAGGCGCCGGTCATGAAACACCACACGCACCACACTCTGCGGGCACAGGAGGGTGCGGCGAATACCTCAGAGGGTTCCTGGGCATTTGGGAGCCAGTTCCCACATCTGGAGTAGGCCAACCATCCCACCCTCTCCCCCACCTTCCCAGGGAGCATAGGACTTAGAATCACTAGGCCTGTGTCCAGATGCCCACCTGCCACTCACACGCTGTGCAACTGAGGAAGGACCTTAAGACCTGAGCCTGTTCCCTCATCTGTAAAATAGGGGAGTTAATTCCTTCTCCCTCTTAGTCACTCTACCAGTCTCTCTTTTTTAAAAAAATTATAAGCAAAAGTTTATTTAGAAAGTCACAGAGGTAGAAAGAAGCGAGCCAGCTGGGTCGTGTGGGCTCAGGAAACCAGTTACAGAGGCAAAAGAAGGGCCCTTGGAGCTCAGGAGAAAGAAAGGTGGAGGTAAGGAGCCTGAGGGAAGAGGAGGGGAAGGGAAAGGCGCAGGCATGCTTTAAAAAGGGAGGTGCTAGCAGTCTCTCTGCAGCACTTATCACTTTGCAGTTTGTAAATCAACTTGTAATTGCATATAATTTATGTAATTACATGTTTGTCTCAGTAGAATGCAAGCCCCCTGAGGAAAAGAACTACAATCTGTCTCTTACTGCTGAATCCCTAGCTCAGAGAACACTTTCTGGCAATTAATGGGAAATAAATGAATACCTTTTTTTAAATCTTCACCCAAGGATATGTTCCCTTCTTTTTTTAAAAATTTTTTTTATTTTAGAGAGAGAGTAATGGTGGGGGTGGGGAGAAACATCAATGAGAGAGAAACATTGATGGGTGGCCTCCCTTACACGCCTGGGGACAGGGGTGGAACCCACAGCCTAGATATGTGCCCTGACCGGGAATCGAACCTGCAACATTCCCTGAGAAATACTTAACCTCTCTGTGCCTGTTGCCTCCACAATTCCTGCCCACCACTGTGAAGGTCAAATTAAAAGGTGGACCAGAGAGGGTTCTACGTGACAATGACATCACAGTGATGACATTGGCTTCCTGCCAAGAGGGACAGTCATACCCAGCCTCTGCCAGATCTGGGAGGGGATGCACCCACCTTCAGGAGCCGGGGCCACTGGGTGGCATCACCCAGCTTGGAGTTGCAGAGCATCTGTACCTCATAGGACTGGCCTGGGAGAGATTAAGGGGATGTGTGAGCCCCATTCTGAGGGGCAGAGATGGTGCCTGCCTCCCCTGCCCACCCTGGCACAGCCTCCAGAGCTTGCGGCCCCACTAACCCCTTTCCTTCCCAGGCCCGTCGTACCCTGGTTCAGGTAGGTGAGGGCCTCCTCCTGCTGCTTCACGGCTGGTGAGGTGGCTGCGCAGAGCACGTACTGGAATGCGGGGCAGGGAGGCTCCATGCTGGGGATGTTGGGCAGCTCCTCCTGCTTCAGGTAGGGCAAAGGCAGGGACTCCCTGCCAGGAAGAGGAGGGCACTGCCAGCTTTACGCCCTGTCCACTCCATCCCCTATGGGGCTTTGACTCTCCCTGCCAGGCCCTATCTCCAGGGAGCCTCCAGTTTCCTGTAGCAGGAACCCCAACAGCAGCCAAGGCCAGAGAGGCCCCCATTTAACTCCTCTGGCCTCTGGGAGGCCTCCATGAAGATGCAAATCCTAGATACTACCAAACATCTACAAACATCTGGCATCAGTTACTTGTTTGCAACCTCAGGGCTTGCCTGATACCAAGTCAATGCCCAACCAAAGTGTCCTGAATAGGCGGTGGTCAGGGTGTTTTGAGAGGTCCCGAGACCTACTACACTACAGACCACATCCTCACCCTCAAAGGAAGCCAAGAGCGGGAAGCCAGTCCCCCTCCACTGGAAACTGGTGGCCCTCCCATGTCCACCACAGCGCAGACCAAGGTCTTCCTTGGGGGCTGGGGAAGAAGATCTGGCTCTTACCTGAGCAAGCTGCTTGGAGGCCCGGGGTACAGTTCCCCGGGACCGGGCCACAGGTGCTCCAGCTGGTTGTGCCAAAATAGCATCTTGGAAAGGAAGCAGGGCCAGGTGTGTGACAGAAAGCTCAGCACTGGGTTGGGCTGGACCAACTGGGCGTCCACCTAGGGCCTCAGCCTCTATATACAGAAGCAAACCCACTAAAGGGTGGGGTGAGGCCCAGGGCCTCTGATTGGCTGAGCACCCAGGGCTCTAAGACATTCTGGACCTATTAGGCGCCCCAGCTGGGGGAAATCAAGAAATGGCGTCCCCAGGGCTCCCTACCAATCATTAACTTGAAGGGGAGATGTGACACAGCAAAACAAAGTCACGGGGATGGATGGACACCCACTCCCCACCATTCCCCAAGAGGCCCAGGGACAATGAGGGGCACCCTTAGACTTCAAGACTGGCCACAGATCCATGAGCCATGTGACATCCTGGAGACCCTCAGGCTCAGACCCCTCACATGACCGCACGGGAGGAACCTGACCCCTCCCCGGGGCAGGACAAGCAGACCTGCAGCATCACACGCACCTACAAAGGGCCTTTGCTCCCCGCTGGCCTCCCACCCTCCTCTCCCTGGACCCCAACATGCAGTGCAGTGATGGCAGGACACCTGTCCTTTTGCTGGGGCTGCCTGGCTAGGGGACTGGAGTTTACAGAACATAGTCTAGCTTGCTGTGGAAACAACTCAGGGGGCGGTGCTGGGAGGGAGAACCTGCCTGTGGGGAGGAGGGGGACGTGCCTGGGGGTGACCCCTCCCAGGGCAGTAGAAGGAGAGGAATTCGAATCCGGTAGGTTTTTTTGCCCCTCCCCTGCCCTGGGGTATGGGGTGGACTGTGTTTATGGACAAATACGGTCTGCCTGGGGGAGGGCTTTCTTCCCCTTGCTCAGCTCCTGTTGTCACTGTACACAGATAACCCCAGC